TTCCAAAAGAATATGAAAGACCTGGCAACACAGGGTCCATAGCCATTCACAGCCTCAACAGGCTAGCAGGGGTTACAGGAGTCTCCTTCAGATCGGACAGAAGCTTTTAAGCACAGGACAGTTCTGAAGATTCTTGTGACCATCAAAGACCTGTGTTATCATAACCTGATGTGCCCACACCTCGTGCTAGATAGAGTTCGAGGAACGCAGCAGTAAGCAAGACAGGAAAATCCCTGCTCTCATGCAGCTAAACATCAGTTTCAAATCAATGCTGAAGGAAATGGAATAGCTACCAACAATGAATAGTGAAGTAATTATTTAAGAAAATGCTAATGTTCCTGAGAAGGAACTCCCTACTTAATGGCATCCTTGAGTGAAATCCTTTTGTGAAGTGAATGGACACTCCCTATTTTATCAGTTTTGAGATCTAGATTGGGTGTGCTTAGAGTTAATCCATATAATTACTAGATTACAATATAAATGCCTATGTGTCTCTATATATGTCTGATACAAATATCAATTGTCACTCAAAATGATTTTTAGTTTTCACTTATGGATTCCATTATCTCCACAGCTTATAGTCTACATATTCCACAGCTTATAGTCTACATATAACAATGACTTAAATATCTTGTCTAAATTAGCAGTGAACATTATCAGATTAGCACATTTTCATTTTAAAAAAGATCCACTCTCCTTTACTTTTAGAATTTAACTATACTAATGAAATTATATTTCATTTTAAGTGATTTTGACACCTGATGATCTCAGATTCACAGCCAATTGTTGTCTATTTTTGACAACAAAGCCAAGCACTTATATTTTGTTAAGTATCACTTATTGTCTACTGCCCTCAGTTTCCCCCTTTACTGATCCACTCTAAAACTTACAATGCCTGTTAATCACACAATAGGTAAGTGAATAAAGAATGCCAGAAAGATTTCTTGATGACTTTAAAAAGTGTCTATTCAGAAGTGTTCACACATTTAAGTTCTCCTGATGTTAAAATTACAAGAAACCACCAGTTATAATAATAGCAGAGACAGTTTTAAGGCCAGGAGGAGAGAAAACTATCTTAACATATTGTTTAGATAAATTAAAATTATTTTAAGTCTGGTTATGTCTGCCTTAAACCGAATCATATTATTTCACAACATGGGTTAGTAAGAATATAATTACTGTCTAGGGAACTGTTTTCTGTGAAAGTATTCCCTAAGTCAGTTGTCACCATCATCCGCATCCTACTCATCTTGTCTAGAAGTCTAAAAGTTATCTTCAGTCCATCATGATTTTATATGACTCCAAGAATTAGAAGAAAAACGAGTGATATCTGCAGGAGACCAGGCTACATATTTAATGAGTCACACCCGTGTCCTCTGCTTGCTAAGCCACATTCTTTCCACCATGCTGTACTAGCTCTTTCTCAATAGTAACCTAAATCTAAAGTAAGCCTTCAGAGTTTGCAGAGACTCAGTAGCTCATTTAATCTTGGTAACTGATCCTCAGACAGTAGATGGGAGTAGACACAATTATCTCTACTACATAGGACACTGGACAGCCAGTGGATAAAATGATTTGTTCAAAAAAGTTCACTGACCCTGGCTTAGATCTAGAGTTCTCCAAGTGAGAACTTCTGGTGGTCCGTGAGGTCCTTTCTGCAAGTACAATTACTAATGCATGAGATCATTCATTTTCATTATATACTTCAACCAAATAGACCAAATGCCGAGGAAACTGTAAGGATCCTGCTGTCTATTAACCCACAAGTGGAAGAGATTTACAAAAATATAAAACAATACTGCTCTTCTCAATAATTTTTCTTTGTGTTAGAAAAATATATAGTGTTCATATCAAATGCTATTTATATTAATACGTAATGGGTTTATTTTTCAATAGACTAATATTTTATATTGCACAGTTTTGATTTCTAATATGATAAATGCCAATGGTTATGGCCCATGTAAATAAAAGCTTTCTGGGGGCTCTCAGTAAATTTTAAGGACATAAAGGAAGCATGAGATTAAACATTCCAGAACCAGTTGCTCAGCTATTAACTGGGTTAACTTACTACCTCAGCGGAGTAAGAACCACCTGACAGACAACCTTACTGCAATCTCCACCTTGACCTCTTACCACCCAAGAGCTTCCTGGCAATTATCTGATTAGATCATAATTTGAAAAAATTCAATCCCAAGAATTTATGTTCTTGCTTGATAAAGTTAGTGAAAATGTGGTGGTTATTTTCATGAAAGAACCCTTCAGGTACAGGCAGACCATAAAAACACTTTAGCCTTTTGTTTGCCAAAATAGGCAACTAGAAGCAAGTCTCTCTCCCTGGCTTTCATGTTCCAATCTTAAAAAAAAAGTTACCTCTAGAATGTTTCCCAAAACAAATTCATTAGCTCATTTATAGATCATAGTGTTCCTCTGATTTGGCTCCACCAAGATTGTGAGAGCCCAGTCCTAATTAGGATCCTCACAGCAGCATTAAATCTAAAGAAACAAACTCCAGTAAACATGGTGTAAGTTTAACTGACAGTGCTAAGAACACCACTAAAAATTACACTTTGCAAGTCAGGTATACACATCTTATAGAGCATCTTTCTTTTGTTTGAGACAGAGTCTCATTATGTCATCCTCGGTAGAGTGCCGTGGTGTCACGTCACAGCTCACAGCAACCCCAAACTCTCAGGCTGAAGTGATTCTCTTGCCTCAGCCTCCCATGTAGCTGGGACAACAGGTGCCGGCCATAATGCCCGGCTATTTTTTTGTTACAGTTGTCATTGTTGTTTAGCTGGCCAGGGCCAGGTTTGAACCTGCCAGCCTCAGTGTATGTGGACAACGCCCTACCAACTGAGCTACGGGCGCCACCCACTAGAGCATTTTAAAAGAGTATTAATGTTTGCTTGTTCTGCCATTTGAAATTTAAGAACTTTTCAAAAGACTACTTTAGAGGAAATAAAGGGAAAAACAGGGAAAGTTATTTTAATCCCAGTGTTACAATATACAGGGAAATCTTACATAAGGAAGTATTTCTTTTGATATAAATTTACTCTGTCATCAGTTTAACTGTCTACCCTAATGATATATACTGCTGGCCTGGGGAACCTTCTCTTTCCTTTCTCCCCCCACCCCAAACAATAACCATGATTCCAACATTTATTGTTCTGTTGAATTGTATGTTCTCATATAAGTGTTTCCCGGCCTGGTGTGGTGGCTCACGCCTATAATCCTAGCACTCTAGGAGGCTGAGGGGGGCAGCATGCTTGAGCTCAAGAATTTTCCATCTAAAAATAGGAAAACTGAGGCAAGAGGATCGCTTGACCTCAAGAATTTGGGGCTGCTGTAAGCTATGATGACATCAGGAACTCTACCCAGGGTGACAGAGTGAGACTCTGGCTCATAAAAAAGAAAAAGAAAAAGAAACATCAAAAGGAAAAAAGGAAAAAGTGTTTCTCATTAAGTATGTGATTCTAAAAGTTTCTAATATCTCTTATGGAATAATAATTTTGTAAACAGTAACAAAAAAAGGAAAATATTTAAATTCAGGGGTGTTTATCTTTCAATTTGTACTGTAAAATACCTTTAAAATCTCAAATTATGATCAAATCCTAAGTCTGCTACAATTTGTGAGTATTGACTCCAAGTAGTAAATAAAATATATTTGGCTATTTTGACCAACACCAAAAATGAAATTCACTAGCATCTTTACAATTAGAAAGCAGCTGGCAAATTACCTGTTTCGGGGGATTACTGCCCACTTAGGGGGATAGTACAGGTTATATTAAAAAGATGTTAGTAGTTATCATGTTCAATGAAGACAAATAAACTTAAAGTACAAAAAAAAACCTTACCACTAAAATATACAGTAAAAGCAAAAGTTCCATTGTGATTGCAAAACATTCCTAATTGTGAAACTTATTTGTAAACAAGACAAAAGTGAAGCAGCTTCCTCAGTCATTTTTGGAGCTCTCAGCATGAATTCCTATACTAAATTTACGTCTCCTATATATTTCTGCTCTGTGTGTATGTGAATGATGACAGGAGACTCAAGTTAGGGAAAGCTATTTGCGTCACTATTTAATTCTTTAAGGAACACAAACCTCAATATTAAAAACAGCAAAGACTACAGAACTAAATAAATGCTGGTGTGAAAAAAAATCAATTTACATAAAATTGTTATATGTACCACACAGAAAAAAACAGAAAAGAAAAAGCATACATACTTTATTGTGTAGAAAAGATACATTATTTCTGGCAAGTAACGTATTCAAATAAATTTTTTTTTTTCTTTCAGTTTTTGGCCAGGGCTGGGTTTGAACTGGCCACCTTCGGCACATGGGGCCCGGCACCCTACTCCTTTGAGCCACAGGTGCCACCCTCAAATAAATTTTTTATAAAATAAATTATTTTCCCCATTCTCATTTTTAAACCAAAATTATGTTCATTAAAAAATCTGAATGTAATAGTTTACTACGAAGGCAATAAATTTAAAAATCACTTGGAATTTATGCTACCACAAAGATAAACCAAATACAGAAGACTCTGGTCCATATTTGGGAAGAAAAAGTTGTCTTCTGAGAAAACATACCTAACACCACTCCAAAGCAGAAAAACTAAAACCAAAGCATGGCTATTTTAAAGACTGGCACAGCAGTTTGAGATCTGGAGAATATCATTGTTATTTTAATAAAATAGTTTCCAGTTTTATTTTGTTTTCCCAATTCCCCTCCCCAGCAGTGGAAGAATATGTGTAACTTTTCCTAGCTACTATGGAATTTTCTTAGCACTTTGTGGAAACTGTTGGCTTTCAGAAATGGACAGGTTGATTTGAACCAAAAGTTAGGCAAATATAGAATTGCAGCAACAATAAAAAGCAACTTAGAAAGAGGATCAAGCCATGCAGACGAGCAAACTTTATAAAATCATTTTTCTGGGATTGTTCATCAAGTAAGTTCCCTAATTTCAAAAAGCCAAACCAAAGCAAAGCATTGACTTACATTGCTTCTTTAGTTCTTTCAGCTGTTGTTTAAACTGTACAAACTTCTCATTATTTTGAAAGTCTGCATCAGAATTCTTGTTCTGTAAAGCCAAAAATTTCTTCTCCACCAATACCTTTAAATCTGGTATTTTTTCTGGACGTTCTTCTTTTACCTGGGTAAGATAACAAAATTATCTTACTTAAATGTTATTTGAGCCATTGTTTTTATCTTGCATAATTCAAAGAAAAAGATAATGAGGTTAAAAAAACAGAATTCCCTGAACAGAGAACCACACAGGCTGGGACTTGTTCCAGAACAGACCTCTGGTAAACACTGAAGGGAATCACTCATCCCATCTACTCATCCTCCTTTTTAGCTTTCTTAAGCTATTAGCCCTTCAATAATCCTACTAACTTACTGTCTCCTGCCAGAGGGAAAATAGCAAACGTGGCGATTTCACGAGAACCTGAGCATCACCGGTCTTCCTTGACCCAGGTCTGCTTGGGTGCCTCTCCCACTTGCCATCATGGTTATTCCATTCTCATTCTCAACGCTCCTATTTTCTGGCCTTCTGCTCCAGCATGACAGTGATTCCTACTTTACAAAAGAACTTTAGGCTCTAGACTTAACCTCCCTTAATTTGCTGCCACAATGAGGATTAGTGCCCCCTTGTTCCGTTCAAATCTGAACTCTCAATGTATGTTCTCTGTCCATATTATAAAATTACGTCCCAATATTACAAAATGTTCAAACATGCAGAAAAGTTGAAGAAATTGTACTGTGACTACCCATACTCCCCAGATGTCACCATTAACACCTTACTGTTTGTGTTATCACATTATCTATCCATTCATCCCTCCATCTATCCTCAACTCTGTTCTTCAATTTGTTCTCAATTACATTCTCTTCATTTCCATTCAAATAAACTTTCCCTATCTATCTATAGACTCTTTGCCTCCAAATTTTAACATTGGTTCTTCACTTCCACATTTTAAAACAAACGACCTCTTATCCCTGCCTGCTCCCCTGAGTTATTTTCTGTCCATAATCCACCTCCTTGGGAAAAGGGAGCCACTGTTTCCACTTCCTCACTCTCTAGCTTTCGCCACCACAATCAAGCTTCTGCCCACCACTCCACTGCCACTGCTCTGCGTCAGGGCTTCAGAATTGGTCTCTTTCACCACTGGCCCTTTCCTGCTGCTCCTGTTGCCAAGCAAAACTCACCAAACTCTCCACTATGCCCAGAAACATGTTTGACAAGCTTCTTCCACAGCCCTATAATATACGATTGCTCTTATCTTTATACATCTTTCCCCTAATAAAACATAAACACTCAAGATCTCTTGATTCATCACTGTGCTGCCAGCACCCAGCACACGGTAGGGGTACATGATACCTGTGTTTTGAATAAATTAATCTCATTAGCTGCAAACGTACTTACCCACAAAAAGCCACAATGTTATCAATGTTACTATTAGTAGCAAATATATAGTTCAATTTCTGAGCTGGAAGACAACTTAAGAGTCCATTTAATATTGAACTCCGCCTTCCCCAGTTTCATAAATAAATAAAATGATTGATAGAAAAACAGTAAAATGACTCATCTTCTGCCATCCAATTACTTAGAGGGAATGCTAAGACTACAAGTTACATACAAAATTACTGATTTTGATTCTAGTCAGTGGGACATATTTCTGCTCTCTCTGAATTTCAGTATCAATGCATATAAGATCAAATGACTGTCTGTATCTTTTTTTTTTGAGACAAGGTCTCACTTTGTTGCCCCTGGTACAGTGCCATGGCATCATAGCTCACAGCAACCTCCAGCTCTTGGGCTTAAGCAATTCTCTTGCCTCAGCCTACCAAATAGATGGGACTACAGGTGCCCACCACAACGCCTGGCTACTTTTTGTTGCAGTTTGGCCAGGTCCAGGTTTGAACCCGCTACCCTTGGTATATGGGGTCAGTGCCCTACACACTGAGCCACAGGCGCTGCCCAACTATCTGTATCTTATTTGCTTTGACTTACTTTTGTCATGGAGATAAACCATATAATCTTCTTTTGTTTAACTGCTATACATTTTGGTGAGCTAAATCAAAAATAAGAAGTATTATGAACCTAAAATGTCTAGTATAGTATGATTTGGAAAAAAGAAGGGAGAAAGGTAATTTAATAATGCCTTATGTCTCAAGAAAAAGAGCTATTACACATGATGACTAGCTATCATCAAGATGAAACAAGTTCAAAATCGTAGTATGAACAGTTCATAGCAGACCCTAGAAAATTAATTGCAGATTCTTAGAAATAGATGATAGGCTCTCTATCTGGATTTATAAACAGATCTGGACTAGTATCTACCCAAGATGTTAATGATAACATTACAGAAAGCATTCAGATGAGCCATCTATAGGTCTGATCAGTCTCAAATTATTATTTAATCTGAGATGATCCCAAAAGATCCGATGTGAGCAGTGGTAAGTAAAATTCAAATGTTCTTTTCCAGCCAAGTCTCTACTACAGTTAACATGTTTAATTTTCCTAGTTCAACTACAACCATTGCTGACGAAACAAACGGAAAAAATAGCCATTTTGAAGTTTGACAACATGACAACCGGGAATATGACTAGGAAAAACAGAATAAACCAAATTTGGTGATTCAATGTATTTTTTCCATAGTCAGAACCTTCAGAAATGTGCCATACAGCCTAAGTTCACTGCTGCAGATGTCTTCCCTGAGAGTCTGGTGCTGCAGGTGGCACAGCTGCCACTGCAAAAAGAACTTACTGTATTCCCACTATCAAAACGGGAGCATAAAAAAGATTCACCTCACTATCTCTTTAAGTCAGTAAAACAAATGGTGACTATTTTTAATGGTTTCTTGCTTTGTTTACATTTTTAAGAGAAATGGATAAAGGAGCAGGGGGAAAATTCTTCAAGTAGCTGATCAGGCATATTACCTAGTACAAAAGACAAAGATGGCCCTCTCCTCTGAGAACAAACTGCCAGGAAATTTGAGATGGGAGGAGAGGATTTATTAGATGATAATAGACTAGTCCCTAGATACAGGACTTCAAACCCCAGTGAATTAAAAGACACTAGGTGTACTAGGTTACCAGGGTTCCTATAACAAAGCACTATAGACTTGGTAGCTTAAGCAACAGAAATTTATTTTCTCATAGTTCTAGAACCAAGAAGTCCGAGGTCACAGTGTCAGCAGGGTTGGCTCCTTCTGATGTTTTTCTCTTTGACTTGTACACAGCAGCCTTCTCCTGTCTTATCACATGGTCTTGCCTTTGCAAAGGTCTGTGTCTAAATTTCCTCTTATAAGAGCATCAGTCTTGTTGGACTAAGGCCCACTTAACGACCTAATTAACTACCTCTTTAAAGACTCTACCTCCAAAACACAGTCACATTGCAAGGTACTAGGGGTTAGAGGTCCAACATATGAATTTCATAGAAATACAATTCCCAGTTAAGACACTGGGTTAATGAAAATCAGAATTTTTAAAACCGTGATAGTTTATTAATCTTTACATCACTATAACTTAAAAATGAGAGAAGCTACAGAGAAGTTAAATAGCAGGCCCAATGCTTACATAATGAAAATGTAATACTGCCCTAGGGAAAGAAAAGATCAGGTTTTCTGCACCCACTTACCCTTTCAATATTCAGTGAGTGCACTCTGTGTGCTAAGCACCTTAGCTTAGAGAAGAAAAGACCAGAACGGGTTGATCGGGGGTACAAGGTGAATAGCTGTGGGACACAGGCTATGGAAATGAGACCTGATCAGACAGAGCAAAAGATATTATGAGATTATAAGGAGTGAACTAATACCGTGAGAATTAAACAAAAATAATTACTACAATTAATGCCTGCAGGATGTACAGCACACAGGGAAGGGGAGAGAGAAGGTCCTGCCACCTGTCAACTGATGGCAGAGGGGCTGCAACTTGGTCAGGCTGGGGTGCTATTTTTAAAGCAATGAGAACTGCTGAGTCTCATTGCGAGAAGAAGACAGGGTATTCCTGAGGGGACAATTAGTCAAATGTCATTTTCTTGAGGAAAGCAGTAGGCATCACTGAATCTGTATAGATATCTGTCTGGTAAGCAGCTAGAAAGAATTTCAAACAGAGGGCATGGGAAAAAGAAAAAAGAGAGAGAACGATGCAAAGGGAACTCTACAAAAGTAAAGAAGAAAAGTAGGAGTAAGGCATGCTACGGAAGAAAGGAAATGGAAAATTTCCATACAAGAAGTGCTTGTCTTTTGGAAAAATGACGCAAGAGCATTTACATAAGAAGCGTTAAAAGGGACCACTGTGGGTGGTGCCTGTGGCTCAAAGGAGTGGGGCGCTGGCCCCGTATCCCAGAGCTGGTGGGTTCAGGCCCCAGCCAAAAACTGCAAAAGAAAAGGGGGGGAGGAACCACTGGTTTAATTATGAGGCGCTTCGCACACTGCACTGCAACTGTGATCTGTGAAGCATCTCTCAGGCCGGGTTTATCTACCTGGGGGGCTCAGATGAATGAATGAAGTACAGAAAGGCCAAATTATACTGCGCTGGTATGAGAAAAAGGATTAAGAGAGTTCTCTGTGAACAGATGAAGGAAGTCTGCTGGCAAAGGAAGAACATGGAGACGAGAAGCACATCATGGGACTGGGAGTACTAAAGAGACGGGTGTATTCACACAGAGGATGACAATCAGCTTGAAGTGAAGCTGATGTGATGGAGGAGAAAGGACAAGGACCTCAGGATCAGACAGAGCTGGTCTGGGTTACTGATCGTCAGTGAATCCTTTTGGGTCTTCTCTCATCTCTTAATTAAAAATCAGAAACACCCGGTGCTGTGAAGACTCAACTAAACCATGCTTGTGTCTGACTTTGGCACACAGCAGATTATCGAAAAAGTTTATTCTTTTCTTTCCAACTTCAGCATAGAGACTTGAATGTGTTTGTAGACTGAGAAGGAGGAGCCTATGAGGAAACATCAATCAAAACACTAAAAGAAAGCAACAGACAGATTTCATTGGAGAAGGTCATTAAAATACTGGGGGAAAAAACACAGAAGTCTGCCACAGGCTGGGACAAGAAGAAGACATGAGTCTTCAGCAGGTGTCATGAATGCCTGCAGGGCTGGAGAAGCAAGGAGATGAGAAAACCCACAACAAGTGCAGGA